TATTTGGGTTGTTTTTGATTCAATACGCAGCACAAACCTATAAAAAAAACTCATTTTCTAATTAAAAAGATGATTCTGAAGCTTGGAAATGAGATCTTTCTGTGCGTTCTAACGAGCAAAATGGCCCATTTCCCAACACATTTGGAGACAAAACACGTTTATTCTTAAGTCTGTTTGTTATTCTACGGTTCGACTGACATTTGTTTGTTTAAAAAGGCCTAATGTGTTATAGGTGCTCTCGACCTTAGAGGTGGAGATGTGTGAGAGTTCAAGGAAACACAGTATTTGGGTTGTTTTTTACTTATTACACAGCACAAACATTTAAAAAAACTCATTTTCTAATTAAAAAGATGATTCTGAAGCGCTTTCTGTGCGTTTTATGAAGCAAAATGGCCAATTTTCCCAACACATTTAGAGACAAAACACGTCTGTTTGTTTAAAAAGGCCTAATGCGTTATAGATGCTCTCGACCTGCAGGGAGGAGGTGGAGATGTGTGAGAGTTCAAGCAAACACAGTATTTGGCTAATTTTTGACTCCTTACGCAGCACAAACCTTTAAAAAACATCCAGTTTCTAATTAAAAAGATTATTCTGAAGCTCTTTAAACGCCGTACAGGGTGGAAATGAGCGCTTTCTGTGCGTTTTAACGAGCAAAATGGCCCATTTCCCCAACACATTTGGAGACAAACACGATTTTAAACACAGTTGTTGCATTTATCCTGCTATTCGACATACATTTGTTTGTTTAAAAAGGCCTAATGTGTTATAGATGCTGTCGACCTTGGAGAGGTGGGAGCAGGAGACACGTGAGAGTTCAACCAAACATTTGGCTCATTTGTGACTCCTTACGCAGCACAAACCTTTAAAAAACCCTCATTTTCTAATTCAACAGACTATTCTGAAGCTCTTTAAACACCGTACAGGGTGGAAATGATCGCTTTCTGTGCGTTTTATGGAGCAAAATGGCCCATTTTCCCAACACATTTGGAGACAAACACGATTTTAAACACACACCCTGGACAGTTGTTGCATTTATTCTGCTGTTCGACAGACATTTGTTCATTTAAAAAGTCCTAATGTGTCTTTTTCTGCTATTCTGTTAAGTCAACTCTCACCAAATCTATAGCGCGTAACGGTAGGCCAGAAGGGCTGAATCTGACAGCCGCCGTGCACGGACCCACGCACTTTTTTACCGACTTCTATCCCTGCAAACATTAATGCTCC